CCGTCTAGCTAGCTGAGTAGCCACGTGAGGTAACGCCCACCAGCTAGCTATTTAGCTAGCCAGCTAGCTACCTACCCCGCTCCTCCCCTACCTACCTACCTACCCACCCACCTACCCACCCACCTACCCACCTAGCTAGCTAGCTAGCTAGCTAGCTAGCTAGCTAGCTATCCAGCTAGCTAGCTAGCTAGCTGTGTGTGATAGAGTCTTACGAGTATGAGGTGTACAGCGACAGCCCTGGGGTGCGCATGCAGCAGGCGAGCGTTGAAACTGCTAGCAGCAGCAACAAAGGCCCTCTCTATGTCGGCTAGCACGAGGAGAGGATTGGCTAGCTGGCTAGCCATGGCCTCCATCAGCAGCGGCAGCTGCTGCTGCTTGCATGCAGCAGCAAAAGATACATAACTACCGCTGCAGGAGATACCCTGGGGGCCCCACGGCCGCAGCACCCCGAGGGCCCTATACTTAGCTTGTAGGTCCCCCAGAGCGAACTCAGCAGCACAAGCCCCACCAGCAGCAGCAGCAGCAGCAGCAGCAGCAGCAGCAGCAGCAGCAGCAGCAGCAGGAGGGGACCGCTTGAGATAAAAGGAGACAGCAGAACGGAGACAGGAGGGACAGGAGACAAGCAGCACCTTTGCCCCACTCAGCAGCAAATGCTCCCGGAATGCAGCAGCAGCAACAGCAGACAAAGACACACTGCGCAGCGTCACTGCTGCTGCAGACTCCCGTTGACGACCTGAAACAACAACACCAGCAGCAGCAGCAGCAGCAGCAGCAGCAGCAGCAGCAGCAGCAGATGCAGCAGCAGCAGCAGCAAATGTAGCAGCAGCAGCAGCAGCAGAAAGTGCAGCAGCAGAAAATGCAAATAAGAACAAATGAAATAAACAACAGCAGCAGCAGCACAACCATCACCATCACCAGCACCACCATGAATAGCAGCAGCAGCAGCAGCAACAGCAACAGCAGCAGCAGCAACAGCAGCAGCAGCAGCAGCGGTATCTTGCCCCCCCCACCACCACCAGCAGCAGCACCACCACTACCACCACCACCACTACAACAACAACCACCACCACCATCACCACCACCACCACCCGCAGCAGCAGCAGCAGCAGCAGCAGCAGCAGCAGCAGCAGGAGCAGCAGCAGCAGCAGTAGCTTGCCTCCATCTCTGAGTGTTGCAGTCTGGCAGGCGAGGAGACGGAGACTGTGGGGTCCCCTCCTCCCCAGGGGATCGGTTCTGTGCATCATGGTGTCTCCTTTTGCTGCGAGGAGACAGCTGCTTTTTGCTTCTTCTTCTGTCTCTGTGTCTTGCTGCTGCTCCAGCAGCAGCAAGCTGCTTACACCACGACCTCCTGCTGCTGCTGCTGCTGCTGCTGATGATGCTGATGATGGTGATAGGCTTGGTCCTCCTGCTGCTGCTCCTGCTGCTGTTGCTGCTGTTGCTGCTGTTGCTGCTGCTGCAGAAGCTTCACCCCATACTAAACGTTTGCTGCTGCAGCTGCCGGATACGCCATATACCCAGGGGCCGTGCTGCTGCTGTCGCTGCAGCAGCAGCTGCTGCTGCAGTTGCTGCTGCAGCAATAGCTGCTGCTGCTGCTGCTGCTGCCGAGCCAGCAGCAGCAGCTCTTCATCTCGTCCAGCGGGATCAAGTAATGCATCCTTGTCATCGTGCTGCTGCTGCTGCTGCTGCTGCTGCTGCTTCTGCTTCTGCTGCTGCTGCTGCTGCAGCTGCTGCAGATTCAGACGCAGCTGCAGCGGGGCCCCCTGCCGTCTCCCCCTTAGTTTTTGTCTCCTTGCTTGTAGCGACCCCTTTCGTGCT